CGGCATATCATTTCAGAAAAAAGTCAGATTTTGAGTCCAAATACCTGTATTAGAGCAATGCTATATATAAATCTAATATATATCTTAAGTCGTTCTTGCGAGCATGAAAATTGCAGATTAAATTTCGTCAATCTGCTCAGTAGAACGAGAGATATAGAACTGCATCCCCTTTTTGGTCAGAGCATACATTAAAGATGTATTTTTGAATTAAGTCTAGCTTGAATCTTTAAAGAATGACCATTATTATGTCCTGTATTATGTCGGACACAGGTATTTGAAAATGATGTGAAAATGGTTGGCAGATTATTTCAGCATAGCATTTGGACATAAGGGTATTTAAGATATCCGAAATTTCTTAATGGATAAGTTAGTCGCGTCTGTTTAATAAATTAAAAAGGCGGCGAAAAGACTTACAACTAACCACTAATGTAGTACCTTGCTTTTGATAGGTCACATAATACTGATATCAGAATTGCTGCAGTGAGCAATTTCGATGATTAAATATTGTTGCAGGATTAGAAGAGAGTTACTTAATTGCCCTGGTGCCTTCAAAACCAGCTTACGCTCTGATGTATTCCAGAATTGAGAGTTTGGTAGTCTGGAGATGTTTAAGACTTTAAATAAATCAGCTGAGTTGTTACACCGCGATAAGAGCTTGCGGAGTCAATTCCCTCGGTTAGTGATAGATCGAGACTTGTTTTACTTGCCGGTAATTGAGCCTCTTTCAATTTTGTACTGCCAAGATCATAAATCCCGCAGTGCGGTGGGAAGATTGGCAGAAGCATTAAAACGCTATCAAGTGGCGTCATTCCGAAAGGCCGTTTACTGGAGTATCGAAAGCGTCTCGTCTCTAGCTGTCTCCGCTGATTGCTTCGTATTAGTTCACGGGAAAAACGAGACAAGTTCAGCTGAAACCGAGACCCTTCCCGTGACATCCCTAACGATCATAAATAAGATAATTCGTAAATAAACGCTCCGTGACGTCATGTGGAATGTGAACTGTGCAAGTTTATGTTGCCCCCTAGTTCTGCGTGCAACGACATCGTTCTCCGATGGAATGTGAAGGTGCGAAATTAGGTCTGCCACTTCGGAATTTAACAGTCTGTTACAGAAGTGTGTATCTGACAGATGAATAACGTAGCGGGTTTTATCATCATTTCCCCGTTACATTACAAGTTTTATTCAATCTTCGTGTAGGGATTTCGATTATAATTTCTGTCTGGCGTTTGATTTAAAATAAAACTATTTCTGCATTGTGTGGATGATGTTTTTTGCTCTGTTTTCCAAGATTTTAAATATTTCACTGAGTTTCTCCCCTGCCCCGTCTCTAGTGTAATAACGTTTAGAGCTACCATGGAGAAATTATTTAAAATTAATGAACTTGAATACTGTGTTATTTATCACCGTGAGAAGCAAAATTAGTAACAAAATTGATTTTGTTTTTATTAGTCCAAAGGGGCAATTTGCGTCGATTCACTATAAACGTTGATTCACTTTTCAAATTGTTGCCACCAAATATTATCGCCTTGTAGTATATTTAAAGAAATTAAATAATGAAGAATCTGCATAAATGTATGTATGTTTCTCTCATTGTTGTAAAACAACGGTACCTTAAGCAATCCAATTTTGAATAACGTAATCTTCCACCGAGTATGGGCATCTGGAAAACCCTAATTTGGAATTTTAAATTTGTTTTATTATAAATTTCCTATTTTGTAACGCTTTAATGAATTTTTGATTAACAAACTCAACGATTTCATAGCGAGCAATGGCGACATTGTATGGGGAAAAAAATTTATCTCCAGCGCGCGAGACTGTGTGTCGGAAATTCTAAAGATATTCTCATTTAAAAATTATTTTGCAATATTCCTGTTGAATTGAATTTTATAGTGTAAGTGCGAAGAACATGATATTTAATAAATAAAGGTAACACACAAAACGTTTAAAAAAAAAAAAAAAAAAAAAAGCCTCTTTGGGCGTAATGTAAAATCTGAAAGCTTTCAGATTTTTTTCCCTTGTAAAACTTTTTTTACAGGAAGATAGAAGGGCGAAAATATTTCAGCAGCGGGGAGAATTTACAACAAATGCAGCAGTGTAACAGTAAAGTTGTTTTCCTTAAAATCTTGTTGTGAAGTTGATTTAGAAGTCTAGTATTAGCATGCGATGTGTGTGATTTGTATTTTGCAGTGATTATGTTCCTTGCCTACAGTTATTGCAGAACATTATTAGCTCAGAAATGCTTATTATTGAAATACTTTAAAAACTTTGAAATAGCTTTGTATTCATTTTGCGTACGTTTTAGGGAACTTATGACATAGGGAAAATTCGGGAAATGTAGGGGGGAATTCTGGAAATGGGAGAGCTGATGCTTTAACTAAATTAGCCGCGAGTATTGATCTTGCATTAAATAAACATGAGCATTCCAGTTTCTTCCTGAAAATATTTTTTATGAAATTGACGTTCTGAGCATTTGAAACTACGACTATTCTTATGTCATCAGAAGCACAGTGGACAAAAGGTGTTTTTTTCCCTTTAGTTTTCGTAAGATTAAAACTTGATTAGATCGTAGAGAAATATTTATGCAGTATTTTTGACATAGTTTTAATACTTATTTAAAGGGTTTTTATTTTGCTTTAGTTGAGTTTTGTAATTGCGGTAGAGTCTGTATTCTAGATTGTATTCGTCATGTCCAGTTGTAGAAGATCCTTCAACTACTTTAAAGTACCTCTCTGCATATAAACCACTTCTGAATTTTTTAAAACTGAGTTTTTCTGAATATATATGCAATAAAAGCAAATTTAAGAAGTACTGATGTAGGAACACTGAAACGCAGAAATACCGATTGTGAAGCACGTAAAATTCACAGTAGCAAAAGTTGATGGCATAGAACATAGATCCATATTGAAGAGGAAGTTTTAATTGCGTAGAATGCTAATCCATAATGAATAGGAAACTTGGCAGTCGAGGTAGATTAAATTCCATTTTTATTTAAATTCAAATTTGTGGCCACAGTTTGCTTGGCATTCTAACCGTGCCTATTTTCCAGAATATTTATATTTTCGAATACTGATGCGATAGGAAGAGAGCGAGGGAAATTGCGTCCAAGCAGCACAGAACGTTCAAGCTAAAGGTTCGCATTATGCAACAGACAAGCTCGCCAAGAGGAAGGTTTTGGTTTAGGTTAGAAAAGTTTCAGCTCTCGAAATTTTGAATTTAGGTTCCGAAATAACTACGTCATCAGCGTTACGCAAACTCTATGGCATAGATTAATCTAGAAATGGCGCAGTCCAGAAATACTGTTATTTTTAGAACAGAGAGACAAAATACCTAAATTAAAAATGAGGAATTAAGAGACTGTTACTAAATTAAGTTATGAAGCTGATTTACATATTTTTTATCTTACATATATATGTCTGTGTGTGCGTAGTAAAGCAGACTTCGAATTAATGCTGTTGTAGAAATATTGATGGTGTACAATTTTGATCCATACTGAAAAGTAAATTGGCAGCCGAAGTATATTAAACAATCATCTTTATTTATTTTTTCAATAATTCCTGTCGTATGAGGCATGAATATGCATACTTCCCCCCTCCTGTAACAAGAATTGTCATGGTATCAAGAGCTATTACTGCTTTTTAATTTCTCTCAGCAAAACATATCCTGTTTAATTTCCTCATGTTTCTCGTATTGTTAAGGAATTAATTACAAAATTTAAATTTATATGAATTGGAGCGCGCATATATCTAGTATTTCTTTTGTAGTTTTACATTATAGCTGATGCTTATAAGGCGGGGGTTTGGCGCACTGATCTTGCAGTTGGTACCGAACATTCGTTCATTGTTTTAAACTCCCCAAGATTTAAACTACTAGCAGACCAGGATTAAACATCCATTAATATTCCTGTGTGTGTTTCATTTAGTAATTACTGTAATATTATAATAAAGTAAGCTCGAGAAAATGAAACGTAGTTACGAAAATCCTAAATACATGAAAACTGCGTTTACAATACTATACATTTATACTGTATATCTATATTTAGGTTTACCTTTCCTATTTACTGTATGAATTATCAGTACCTTCAGTAATATTGTCTTATGTGACACTAGTGTGAGACATAAATAATGAAACGTTTTGCGATAAATTTTGTATGTATCATAGAAGTAAAGGTTCGATATAATATTATATATAAGCATTTATGGCATTGTCTTGCTTTTTATTTTTTACATATATTTCTAGATTTATGTCCAGATTTTTCAATCTTTCGCAAACGCTTTACAAAAATAAATAAAAAATAAAAATAAAAAATAAATAAATAAATAAAGAGGCTTTTGTTGAAGAGGGAGGGGTTCTGCGCAAAAGAAATAAATAGTTTACTGGAATTTTTGAATTTCAGTTCATTTTAAGAAATCATTTAGTCCACCAGCAGCAAAATAATAAAGTCGCTGAGCAGTGGTACTTGTGCTCGATACCAGGCGAACGAGCTGGTTTTTTGTGTTTTTCTTCGTGTGTGTGTGTGTCCAGTTTCCTTAGAAAGTCCTCCACGAAGGCATCTCTCATGTTAGACCGATAGCCATCGCGTGCATTACCAACCATTTAGTCAACCATTTTAGCATTCGCATTTTTAAACCTATGAGGAATGCTAAAAAAATCTTGTTTTCTCAATTTTAAAAAATACATGCTGTGTGGCGTGCTTTATACATTGTCTTAAAAACTGCTTTTGAGTAATTAATTATGAACGTTTGTTTAAGCATTATTACTGAAGAAATTCCCTACAAGTTTATTGTTTAGGCACCGTAAGTGAGTTTTCTATATTTATTGTAATTAACGCATATAAAATTGTATATTGAGTTCTAAGAATTTTAATATTATTATTATTTATGAAAAAAAATTATTTTGCGGCGGCCTTAATACAATGGCCTTAAGCATTTAGGAAAGTAATGTTGTTCTATGTGTATTTTATTATTTCTTTTATGTGTATTATATATGGTTTTTTTTTCTAGGGAAACTGAAAAAGTGTAGAATGTTGAAAGAAAATTAGACCAGCATTTAAGATTGAAGTTACTCCGATGATTTCTTGAGAAAGGTTTTTCTCCTCGTAAGAGTAACCATATGTGAATTATAAAAAAGGCCATTTTGTCTAAGGGTTTTAGGAAAGAATTGTGTGGTTTCTTTTGACCTACGGAGCCTAGTGTCCGAATCCGTGCACAAAATGATAAAAGGAGCAGTTTTGATGTGTTGTTCTTTCTGTTGCAAGTCTAAGGTATCTTATGAAATGTTTTAAAAGCCATTTTATCACCATATTGATTGCTTTGTGTGTGAAACATTTTTCATCATTTATTAGTTAATAACATCGTAATGTATGCTAATGATACTTTAATATAGCATTTGTTTCTAACATGATAATAAATATTTATATATTTAAGATAATTGATGTAATAAGAAACGTAAGTAGACCGAGAGTTGGCATTGAGTGTAAAATCACCGCCGTACAATTTCGTACAATTTTAAATTTGAATAATAATTTTTTACAAATTTTTTTATATTGTGCTGCTGGTAAGTTTTTCATGGCATGTAAACGAATAAGGAAGTAGTGGAGATAACATACTGTAATATGCTGCAGAGCTCCGTTCCCAAAATTTTTTAGCCTTGTGACTCGGATGCAATTCATTGCGACTCCCGTGCGTAAAGTTGCGATTTATCGCAACCAACTTGTTCTTAAAACGTGATATTGGGAAAGTGGATTGCTAGAAGAAAATACTGTAATAAACAAGTTAATTAGTAATAATTACTAAACAATGAATTTAATTTAATTCCTAATAAAAGTAAATATTTATAATAATACATTAAGAAAAGAGTATTTCAAAATTATTCTCGATCCAAAACTCGTTTATCGAATCCCATTTTGGGAATCATCGCTGTAGAGATGTCCTTCCTCCACATACTTTTCGAGGTTTTATTTGTGAACCAGAATCTATTATTTGATGAGTGATCCTTTCTTTCGACCTGCTTCGCCATTTTGTATAAATTGAAAGGTAAGCTTTTGATCATTTTACTGTAATTTCTGCAGTATAATTTACGTTACCTAACTTTCGGCAGGTATTTGTAAGTGATGTGTAATGCATTTTTACATTCTTCTGCCAACTAAAATATGCTTATAGACTGATAAAAGAATGAATCCATTTCGCTGATTTTCAGTTTTTGTCGGTGGTTTAATCCCTAACGTATCGAATAAGTAAGAAACGTCAATTTATAAATGCTTGTAAAAAAAAAAAAAAAAAAAAAAAAAAAAAAAAGCTTCCACTTATTTTTTTTATTTCTCGTTATGCTTATATAACATTTAAGAATTTAAATACAATTTACTTATTCACTTAATATAACTAAGTGCTGTTTCCTGAAAGAAATCGACATTGCTAATTTTCAGTATTATTATGATATATCGAAACTAAAAATTTATATCACAAAAAATGTATTATTGTTTTCAGCACGCAAACTTTTCGTCTCTGAAAAATTTAAATTTGTTGTCATATATTATCGCGGAAAATAATTGAATAATTAATGCTACCCGGAGGCTTGCAACAATTATTTCCGATTGCCTAAGATATTTTCTGAAAAATTGCAGAACTTTGTTTCGAATAATTTTGTTCTGGCTCACGGCTTTGCAAGTAACCAGTTTCTGAAGTACTAATATTCGACAAGAAAACGTTTTTTAGATTTAACAAATTAGTAATTGTTTAACAAATTGACCGATTAAAATTAATAATTCTAATCTTTAACTTACTTTTAATAGTGTATCAAATCCATATAATTTAGAGTATATATTATTTGTAGTATATGCAGCTAGTAATTTTTATGACATTTATAGCATTATTATAAGTAATATAAGACTTTTTTTGTTCATTATTTTTTTGTTGTTGTTGTTGTTTTTTAGTTTGTTTTTGATCTCATTTTCTTATTCCAATATTTTAATTTCTTTTAATGATATTTTTCACTGGAAGAGTTAAAATATTATCCATTTCATATTGTTGAATCGTAAATTTCTAATTACATTTATCCTTGTAAAATTAAATAATACCTTCAGTTGAATCATCCGTTCTAGATCAAATTGTTTTGTCTTTCAGTAGCTCATTAAAAAACGGACAACACCTTTTCTAGTTATCATGAGTAAAGTGCTAGAAGTTCTTTTCAAGTTGTAAAAGCAAATAAGTAAAACTGTTTGAAAAACTAGTAATAAAGTTTGAGTTTTCCATCCTTCATCTAGCAAGGTTTGTAAGTTTATTAAGCATGGCTTCTTTGATGTAATAGACAGTTATTTGAAGTTTTCGGATTCATTTTTTTTAATGGCGGTACGCTTTAGAACCTGAAGCATTGGACCAATTTAAAAAAAAAGGTATTGGATGTTTTTACTAAAACGTATAGGTAAAAGTAAGATATATCTGTCTCTACTAAATATATTTTTTAAAATAATTTAATATTATTTTAATTGAATCAAAAGTTATGATTTTTTTTGTTTATTTAATTAAGGAGTTATTGTTTTAATTAAAATAATATTATATTTTTAATTAAAATATACTTATTTTAATTTTAAGTTTTTAATTATAATCTGAAAATGGTTTTGCAATATTTTAGCATTATTTGCTTAATAATCTCTTTGTAGCATACAAGATGAAGTAAACCAAATGTTGCAGATATCGTTGTATGTATTTTGTGCATTGTATGTAGCATGTAAATTTGTGGAATAAATTTCATTTTTCAAGTTATTTATTTTTGCGTCTTTATATTATAAAATAAACTGATTTTTTTAATGAAAGGATATATACGAATTTGCATTGATAGGAAATAAACTCAGATTTATTAATTTTGAATGTAAATTTCATTTTAATCCTCCTTTTACATTTTAATCATATTTTTTATCAGAGTAGATTCAGCCAAATTTCAAAACTATTCTCTTTTCTTTACACGTATAAATATTGAACATTAGATAACAAAAGAACCAGTTTTTGTTTAAATTAGCATAGTTTTTTCCCTTCTAATTTGTAATGTTTTTCGAAAGTCAGCAAAATGTAAGGCGGTAAAAATATTCGCATAAATAAGCTCTAATTTGTGTTAATTTAAGTAATTGAAAATATACTGAATTCAATGAGTGCACACGTCAGTAATATTGCAGTATATCAGCTCAACGAGTTTAAAACTGAAACGATTCTCTTATAAAATTTATTTCTGAGTAGCCCGCCCTTCCCCAACAAACTTTCTCGTCCAGTGATAGTGAAACAAACACTTATCATTACAAAACTATGATGATTTTGAATGGCATGCAACGGCAACATATTTAAATTTCACCAACTCTGATTCAGTTGCTTCGACCAAAGCAACAATAACTAATAGCTCTATGTTTTCCAGAGGGTCTAATTTAAGCTTTGGATTTATTACACTGTCGAACCCCAATATAACGGAGGAACCTTTTGTTTCCGTTCAATTTCTTATACATTTATGTTATACTCTTATAGTGAACCTCCAAGAGTATGAAAATCGGATATATCGAACTAACTGTATGGATATCTACGAATGAAACTTTTATGATATTTTTCATATTTTTTTTGCAAGTAAAAAAACTTCCTAACTGTTAAAATTATTCAGGTTTAGGATATTAGGATCCACATTCTACATTCCATCTATGCAGGAAAACACCTTTATATTATTTTTCTTTTATTTTTACCACGCTTTTGTCTGTGTTTTGAACAAAGGCTGTGCGATACACGTGTGACACCCAACTGTAGGCGAACGAGAGTACAATAAGCATATCTTAAGACACCACATGGCAGTCAGTGGTCTCAAACTGAATGCGTACCAAATGAACGATATAAAAAAAGCTAACGAGCTACAATTTTTTTTATTTTTTACAAGATGAAAACATTTAAGTACCAAATAAAAAATATTTAAAATAAATTTTAAATTTTGCCTGCTAAACATTTATTAAAACATACATAAACAATAGTAATAATATCGCAAAGGGAAAAAAATCAAATTTATATTTATTTTCTGTGTGAAATCTAAAGTTTATTCATGAGACGTTTTTGATGGTTACAATATGCAATTCAGGTATATTGGCAACTAAATATTAAATTCGAAGATTGATATTTTTTTAATAATTTTAATATGCTTATTTAATCATTAAATAACTTTCTTTAAACTAAAAGTAATTTAATCGTGGTAATTTTTTTAAGTTTTCAGAGAAAATTTACTTAGTGATGTTACCAAAATTTTGAGAATAAATAATCACAGGCTATTCTCTTTCCTTTATTTATAAATTTTTCTACGAAGTATAAATAAAAATACATAATGTTTGTATGTAAATAATTGTAAACGTCTTTATGTCTTACTATAGCTTGACAATTGATGACGTTTCGATTCTGATAAAGTTTGAAGCTTTTTAAAGTATTGGAAATCTCGGATTATAGATACTAATAGGTGAATCAGATTCTTTTATTATTAATTTTCAACTGAAAAAAGCTGCTCACATAGTCTCAAACAAAGCAGTTATTCTCAGCGCAAAAAAATCCTAACTTAGGGTATATTTATCTTTGGACAAGTACGAATAAAAGTTAATAAAATCGATATTTTCTAATTTTGATTACGATTTTTATCGCATAATAAATCAATTAGCTCCATTTATATATTTTCTGGTGCGTTTTTTATGTCTGTTTTTAATGGAATTGAAAATAATATGAACTCTGACATCAAATAACTAAAATCTGCAATATTGTATTTCCAACAAATATATAATTGAAATATCTTTGAGGGCCGCATAGATTGCTTCGGAGGCCGCCAGCTTGAGACCCAGTACCATATGATGTACATGACCATACAAGACATAAGAATTGGTTCTTTGATTCCATTCTAATTATTTTTTTCTTAGCTGCCAGACAAAACTCTGTTCAAAGCTGGTGCTAAGATGAAAATTTTGAAGTTTTCGCGATTCATGAAAAGAGGAAGTAGTGAATCTTATGAGCCGGCCGTTTTGCAGTTAATTCTTCTTTTAGGGAGTGAAAAGTATGATCCTGATCGGTTTGTTTTGTGTGAGAATGCTATGCAGTTTCTGTCCAGCAAATAATGGTTTTGCGTTCTATAGTTCTTTTGCAGAAAAGGTTATTGAATCTTCGTATTGTAACTTTGTTTGTATTGTATTCTTTATATATAATCATATATATCTTGTAGAAAATGACCATCTTCTCATTGGACAGTGCATAAAAGACACATAGGTGA